AGAAATGAGAAAATGGAGGAGAAATAAGCTCACTTTGGGCTTGTATACATTAATCAAAACGACGTAGTTTCAGTGGGGGTCTTCTGCGTAATTTCGTACATGGGGTAATATCAATCACACTGCTTTGTTTTTGTGATATGTCATTTTAGCCACTAATATAAGTTTTATATTATTTTGTTTTGGGTTCTTAATTTTCAACGTTTATGTTTTAGTCATTATTTCGTATATTATTTTATTTTGGTTGATTTTTAATTCTGGTTGCAATTAATTTCTTTCTTTTTTATTTATTTTATTTAATCTAATATATTTATATATATTTTATTATATATATATATATATATTATTTATTTAATATTAATATTAAGATTTATTTATATATTTTTATTTTTTTTTAATTTCTTTTGATTATTATCTTTTAAACATTTTTCATTTATATATATATATATATATATATATATATATATATAGTATTAAATATATTTTCGTGGGCTATGTGCCAGCTTTTGCCATTACTACATGGTCAGGGCTCAACCTTTTCCTTTTTCAACTTTTTTCCCTTTTGGAATAAAAAATTATTATTATTTTTTTCCTAAACGTTTTTTTTTCTTTTTTTCCTTTGAAATTTAACATTTTACTCTTTTTTTTTTTATTTTATTTATTTCTTTGAAAATTTATTTTCTTCATTTTTTCTCTTTAAACTTGATTTTATATTTAATTAAATTATTTTTCATACTTATTTATTTATTTTTATTTTTTCAATCTAAATTTATTTTTGACCCTTTTTAAAGTTATTCCAACCAATTAAAGGTAAGTAATTTGAATCGAGTTTTTTTTTAAATTTTAATTTCAATTTCAATTTTTCACAATTAAGACAATCGACAAATTAATTGGTACCGAAAGGGCAGTACAAGGGTGCTAATCCTTCATTGACTGTAACCGACTCCCAAACCCGACACATTTTTGGTAAAACGCAAATCAGGTAAGATGGTGTCAGATCAGGCTAAATAATTTTTAAAATAATCGGTGGCGACTCTAATATATTCTATTTAAGTCGAAACTCAATTTCGGGCCCACCCGAAATACGGCCGCGACAAATAGATACAGTCTTCATAACATATAATATATATAAATTTAGAAAAATAATATGTGCAAGGTACGCCACATATTATACATATAATATAAACAAATATGTAATACAAAAATACTACCCAAAACACTACATGATTATAATATAAATAAATTACACTGTAACTCAAAAGACTCCCCCCACCCAAAGTATTATATATGTAATATGTTACAGATTACGAAGAAAGGAAATATGTTGCGTACGTATATACATATATCTATCTAATAAATCATGGAGGACTATAATGAAAGCATTTAAAAGTACATATTAAATGTAAAAAACTGAAAACGGAGACAAACAATAGGAAGGTCAAAAGTGTAAAGCAGGAAAATAAATGGGCAATTTTCAGAACCTTAAAAAGCCTCTAAATGAGGATTAAATTACATTATTTTAAAGATGAAGGGAGTCAAGACATGATAAACCCATCGATGAAAATGAGGCAGCGCTAGACTCTTAAAACGACAGCATTTTGGGAGTTTTAGAGAATACTAAAGACAAAGGATCCTCTACAAACGAAACTCAAACTAGGTTATGGGGTTACCTTCAATGATATGAGTAACTGGTGACTCTGACAAGCGACGGTCATGCCTCTCCGACGAAGAAAGGTAGGAACTTTAAGATTTTTTTTCCTTGGTTCTCTGTTTTTGGGTCTTCTCCTTTTCGAAGAAAAAGACCCTCCTTTTTAATATCGTTTTCTCCCCTTTTTGTTACTCTAAAAGGCATCGTTTTAATTTCTTTTTTTTTCTATCCTTGTCTTCGCATGTGAGAGTGGGGTAAAAGGAAGGATATTTCCCATTCGATCCATCTGTGTTGAATCATCTAAGGGCTCAGTTCCCTTCCCCAACAGTTTCTAACATCTCTGCGCGGGGAGGGCATAATTTTCTGTCATTTTCTTGGCAGTGCACACGAGCCTTTTTTAGGGGGCTAGTGCTTTGTCTTCTCTTGCTGGCGTGGAGAACTTGCTGAGGTGGATGGGGCTTTTGTGATCGTCGTGGCAGCTTCGTCGAACGGTGCAGGCAGTCTCCATTGTTGGCGACAGTTCTTGGGAGAGTAAGGGTTAGGGTTAGCAAACCCTACCCTAACTATTGTGCTCCATGGGCTTTAGGGTTTGTGATGGGTTTAATCCAAATGTTGTAAATGGGTCTATTAAAAGAAAATAAAATTATATTAATATTTTTTTCGTATTTAATATATATATAATTAGTTAATTTATTTAATAAATTAGTATTTATTTATTATATATTAGTCATAACTTTAAAATTAAAAAGAAAATATTTTAAAATAAATTTAAATAAAATTTAAAGGTTTGAAATTCAGAGATGAGTGCTTGTATTAGGTTTGGACGAAAATATGTGTCTATGGGTATAGATACTGGACATTTTTGTATGAATACCAAGCTTTCGGAATGGATGTCAAGCCTCTGGTACGGAAACCAAACTTTCGATGTGGATATCAATCTTTTGATATCGATAGTAAGCATCTGGTATCAATATCAAGCCTCTAATATCGATATTGTTACCCTCACTATTTATATTACGGGATCAGTATTGATACCAGTTCATCTGGTATTAATACTGTGGCCTAGAAAATCTAGTTTTCACCTAGAATATAAACAATATCGATTTTACATAAATAATATCAATCCAAAAAACCAATAAATAGGCTTAGAATCACTCAAAAAATCTTACCAAACATCATAATTTGGTACCAAATCATGTCTTAAAGCTTAGAGAAGATACTTAGGGTCTTTTAACAGTATAAAAACACCATCTTTACACCAAAAACTCCATCTAAGCATGAATCAAGTAAAAATTCACAATATGCTTAAATACTCAACAAATCATCACATTTAAAAAAGTTCACAAAGGATTAGAAATACACTACCTTGATTTTAGAATCTCAAAATGAAGCTCTTTTATTAATTACACTAACTTCCTCATTTTCTAATTGGATTAAAAAGATTTCCACCCACTTACTCTAGCCAACAAGATAAATCATGAGTTTCTAATTGAAAATGATGTTGGAAGGCTACGGGACATATTTAAAGTCCAAAAGAAGCGCGAAGAATGTTCAAGAACTTACTTTTGAGCTATGACACTAGGGAGGTAGAATGAAGAAAAAAAATGAAGGGGAGGAAGATAAAGGAATGGAACAAAGCCTTCTTCAACTTTTTCCCCTAAAAGTCACGCCTAAACCATTTTCACCAATTGACTAATTGTACTTTTGGTCCTTCCTCATTTGCCTACTATGCAAAAATCTCATTTTTAAGGCCAATTGAGCCCAAATTACATCTAATTAAGCTTACATTTGGCCTAAAGCTTCATAATGGACTATTAGGTTCATCCAAAACCCACTCAAGTTAACCTAAAACTACTAACCCAAAATTTAGGGTGTTATATATGTGTCCACCCTGAAAAATATTTTTATATATGTCACTGATTGACTCAATGACATAATGTAAACATAGATTTGATCCATAAAATACAACTAAAATGATTATGGGATCAGATTTATCATATTCAGTCAACAAGTTAACGTTCATCTTAGACATGAGTTATTTTTTAACAATAAATGACGAGCTTGAAACATATAAATAGTTAGTGACAATTTTGTAACTTTTAATAGTCGAGTGACTTAATAAAGCAACATCCTATAGTTAAGGAATTATTTTATAACTTTTAATAATTAAATAACTCAACAAAACATCTTATAATTGAAAAACCATTTATGTATTTTACCCTTCATTTTAAATGTTAAAAAATACAAGTATTAAATGTGGAGTTTTAATGAATGGTCAACCTGTGGTTGGCTTTTGGAACAATGGTTCTACTTTGGTTGGGTAACGCCCAAATACGTATTTAATATAATAGAGTCAGTGAGTAATAAATGAAAATTGATTTCTTCTATTGGCAAATCAAAGCTGAAGCCTATTCACATTTCATTCATTTCATCAACTGTTGGTCAACAGTGAATTAAATTATCAAAGGAGATTAGTGATTGGGGCAAATTTTTAAATTTTCTATTATAATATTTTTTATATTTTTTGAAAAAAAACTAAGTGTTTAATTATTATATTTATTTAAATTATATTTAGAGTTGAATTGAACCTTCAATAGAGATAAAATTACTACCTATTACTACAACACTAATTAGATTCTAATTAACTATAAGAAAATCTAATTAAGTTCTACTACTTACAATAACTGATCATAAACGTAGTCCTACTTCGATATCATGTAGATCCAATGTCTTGAATATCACTAAAATTAAGGGCATTCCCCGTTTGGTTAGTCGAGAATTTCATTCCCGATAATATAAGATTACTAATAGTTGACTTTTTGGGGTATATTACTGGAAATGTCATTACCTCCCTTTCCTTAAGTATTGTTGGATTACCGGCGTTTTGGACTAAAACGCATTTAATTTTTTTTCAAAAATATCATTCTTTTGTCATTGAATAATAAAAATTCTACGAAGGTTAAATTAAAAATTTATCCTTAAACTATTTTAGATTTACAAAAAAATCTATAATTAAAATTTTATATGAAGTTCAAGGGTTAAAATAAAATTTGACCCTTTCATTAAACCTTTTTATATTTTTAATTTTGTAAAAAAATATATAAATTTTATGAATTTAAATTTTTTAAAGAAAATATATAAATATTTTCCAACTTGTTAAAAAAATAAATATATAATAAGGACAATTTGGTCAAATATACATTCTAATAATCTTTTATTCCTTTAACCAAATACGGTAATCTTACATTCGTGCTAAACCAACCAAACACAAAATACAACATTCTCAGTAATCCTATTCCCTGGTAATCTTACATTCCATTGGTAATATTACATTCTGTGAACCAAACGCTAATAGTTAATAGGAAGGAACATGGTAGTATTTGCCTTTACACATGCACCTATACACAATGGAGCAAGACTCGGCCATTGAGCACTTGAAGCTCACCATCACCCTCTTGCACGGAAAGCACGCCTCGCATGCGTGTGAACAGTCCGGAAAGTTCGACCCCGCCAGGTATAACTCCATCCCCACCACCTCTTCCTGCAAAAAAACATCGTTAATCAATTCATCTATTCCGAATAAGGGATTTAAAAGTACTAAGACCGCAACGACGGGAGATGAGGCCAAGTTGATGAAAAGCTAACCTCAGGCTGCACTTGTCCTTCATTGGTGTCGACTACTTTTCCACGGCTGCTCGCTGCATACATACATGTAGAACGTACTCAAACTCGGTAATACGAATTACTAAACTAGAGAAAAATGACAGTAACTTCTGCAATGTGCTATTTACCATGGTGATGATGATGGGGAGCACAAAGGCTTTCAGTGAATGAACAAACCAGCAAGAAAATTACAACTACTCTGAAAGATAAGTTGTTCATGATGATGGGGAGCGCAAAGTTTTGCGAGAGATTTGATGGCAGGCAAGGGTGTGTATATATAGTGAAAGAGTGAGGCCTTAAATGTAGGGCGTTCATAATTCGGTTAAATTTAAATTATCCGACTCAATCAAATTTTTTTTTTGGTTAATCGGTTGGTTAATTTTTAGTTCGGTTGGTTAACTGTTAATGATTTTTCCAAACTTTGGTTATCGATTAATCCGGTTTGAAATCGGTTAATTATTTGAATTAATCGAAACTATTAAATATTTAATATATTATATATATATTATTTAGCTTTAGGGGTGTTTAAACTTCGGTTGTAACAAAATTAACCAAAAATATTAAATATATAAAATATAAAATATTCAATAATTTTAGTTAATTAGGTTAATCGACGAAATTAACCAAAATTAGTTTGGTTCTATTAAAATATTTAAAAAAATTGTTTCAATTAAAGGTTAAAAGAAAATTCGATTAATGATTATTCAATTTGATCGGTTACCGAATTAATCGAATAAACACCCATACTTAAACGTGGAAAGAAAGTACAACTTATTCATTTCACATGATCCACGGCTATCTTCTCAAAAGGTTTCATATTAAATTTGATAATTGAAAAAATTGTCGAATTAAATAAAACTAGGGTAAAGTATACAAATGATCTATCGATTATAAGATAGTGTTTTGTTAAATCCCTTAATTATTAAAAATTATAAAATAGTTCTCCGATTATATTGAGTTACTTTGTTGAGTTCCTCGATTATTAAAAGTTACAAAATGATAACTCAATTATTCATTATGTTCCAAACTCGTCTTTTTCATTTAAAAAATTAACGGTCGTTTGAAGTAGACGTTAACATGCTGACTAAGATATGATAACCATTTGAAATTATGAGATCAAATTTTATCATATCTTATTCAACAAGCTAATGTCCAACTTAAACTATCACTAAATTTTTAACAAAAATGACGAATTTAGAACATAATAAATAGTTAAAGTGACTATTTTATAACTTTTAGTAGTCAATAAACTTAATAAAGTAACTCTCTGTAATTCAATAGACCATTCTGTAACTTTTAATAATTAGAAGACTCTATGAACAATATCCTATAATTAAGAGATCATTTGTGTACTTTATACATATTACTATTAGACTTTGTCATTAAATCTACTTTGAAAATCAACACTTTAATAATTTACATGTAACAAATTAATAAAAGTATATGAACGATTAATACATATTGAATATTATCACCATCGATAACTATATCAAAGTTGCAAAATATGCGACAAAAAAAAAAATAGAGTAAACTATGCATTTAGTACCTAAACTAGATCTGTTTTAGTACCTAAATTTTTAATTTTTTCAAAATCATACCTAAAATTTAGTTTTTATTTTAATACCAAAACTTAAGTATTGAAAAAATTGAAAGTTTAGGTACTAAAACATACCAAAATTAACAGTTTAGGTACTAAACACGTAATTTATCCAAAAATGTAAAATAGACACCTATTACTTCAGCTAACACTTCCTTTACATTCAAAATCAAATGTTAGATATTAAACAATTCCAACTTATTTAGGAGGAGATAGATTTCCCTACGACCCTAACTGTTCCTATTAGCAACCATAAAACAGCACACAGTGCACCTAGAACAGAAATGATAAAAAAACCCTTGTTCCTGCATTTCCTCCTAGCAGTTGCAGAACCACTCATTGCTGATACATTAGCATTTAATTTCAACCTACCAAAGCTTGACATTCGCTCGAAAGCACGATTTACCAAAGGACGCTCAGAAGCAGATGCAGGAGTCGTAGGTATTGACTCCACGAATGACCACAATGAAGACGAAAACCGGCTTCCACCTCCATTTTTGTCACCTTGGTCTTGCTTAGTACTGTTGTACAGGAAACCTAAAAAAAACATTTATAAGCATATAAGCTCAAATTCCACTTTCTTTTTTTTATCTACCCAACTATTAGTCATTAGCTCTAAAGAAAATGAGCTAAGGCAATACTTGGTCGAAAACAAAAGCATAGCTCAGTGAAAGTTATGTAAGTTCACAAATAAATCCATTTTGATTTCCAAATTTGTTCTACCTGAACTTGCAGGAGCATTCCCGAGATTTGATCCTGATGGAATAAAGACATCGCTGCTTTGATCATGTGTCCAAAGTGAGCCATTAATCTGATCTGGTTGCAGATGATGATTTTGATCATGGTAATCCACCTGCTCCATAGTTGAATGAAACACCAATTGCTGATCCATCATGTTCGCAGTTGGACTGGAATGAGACTGAGAACACTCTGTGTTCAACATATTATCTACCGAGCCATTCAGTTGAGGCTGCAACTGCTGATCCACCAGGCTTATATTAGATTGGGATTCAAACTGGTAACTAGCCTGATGGATCCTAGTATCATACGAGAGTGGAACTGTTTCTTGATCAATATGCCCAATGTCCTGCAGAAACATGACAGCATCATGGTACAAGTCAAATTCACTTGGTCCGTCCAGCTCATTGAACTGGACATTCTCCACAGGTTTCTCTGTACCGGAGATCAAAGGTTCAGGACCAAGGAGATCATCCATTTCCAAGAAATCTGCCTCGGATAATTGGGGGAACTGTTCAAAGTGATCAGCAACGGATGTGACCTCAGGTGTCTCCTGCAACTGCAATTGAGAAGTGGGCGACTGAGGGAAATCAAAGCTTGCTTGACCATAGGCACGTGCTAGTGGCTCGGGAAAGAGAATATCTATTGGAGATGAATCCAGCAAGGTACTTTGCGTCTCGTCCACACTGACAATCTGAGGCAATACACGGCTAAGATGAGCTTGTGGCTGGGGAAGTGCAGGCTCATCAGCTAATTGTCTCATAGACTCCTCGATATCACTCAATGGAGACAGATGTTGAGCATCAGCTTTTACATTATCAACAGGAATAGCCTCATCAGCTGGCTTTACGGGAGTGACTACCGGATTGCTTTCATAATCCTCATCAGCCCATGCTTCTTCTTTAAATGGTGCCCCGTACTGCTCACCATTTTAGGACCAGGTCCGCTTTTTTTATACAATTTATACAGGGCATAATAATCCTGATATGCAAAAGTGAAACACATCATCAAGAAGCAGGTCGTATACAGCACGAAAACTGGAAAAGTTCCATAGAAAACTTAATTCATCTACATACCTTTACATTCTGGCACCTCTTAAGCTCCTCTTCGTCAAGAGTATATTCACGCATTACCCAGTCGGTCCGCTTGCCACTAGGTGCACGCCCTCTGTAGAAAACTAAAGTTTTCTTGATTCCAACTGTTCGAGAATTGCACGAAATAGTTCGATCCTTTCCTATTGCCTTCCAATACCCATGTATGGTTGCCCTATTTGACCTTGCTCCATTAGGGTACTTCCTGTCCCTTGGACAGAAAAAGAACCACTGTCTATCCCCATTCTTCAGTATGGATTGCCCTGAATAGCATTTTTTATTTATTAGAAAACTGATCATACTAGAAACATTATCTACTGATAGCAGCAAGAGCTTCAAATGGGAACAAAGAGCTTAAAATTTGATTTTATGAATCTATCATCGTGTATGATATATATGTGTGTGTGTGTACGATAATGGATTCATAAAATCAAATTTTATGATTCAAATTTCCATCAAATTCTATTAATAGGCAACAAAAAGATAAACCACAGAAACAGTCCAATTAGTATGCAAAGCAAAGCAAACCTAAGTCAACGCAACCCAAAAAGAAAGAAAACAAATCAATTACAGATAAAATCAAAACGATGTCAAAGCACCCAAACCCTAAATCCATATCAAAAATCAATAAAAAAACCCTAAATCTTAGGGTTTATAAAGGAAAAGAAAAAAAATACCAGGTAATTCGTCAGGATCCCACTTGTAAACATCGGTTTCCCTTATGATATCAAGCTTAAGACTTTTTCTACAGATCTTCCTCTTTAAGTAATAAAGAACAAGCTCTTCGTCAGTTGGGTGAAAACGAAACCCCGGCGGCCACAATTGATCGTCCCCAAAACACGAATCCGCCGTCGCCTTCATCTTTCTTGATATTAATGAAAAAGAGCTCCCTTTTCTCAAAATGGACAAAAAATGAGAAAAAATTATTCCGAATCAAGAGAGCTAAATGCCGAATCAAAAAACCCCAAAATATGATTTCTTAAGTTATACGAATTTTCTTTTCCTTTATTTTTCTGAGAAAAAGAGAATGCTAAGCAGTAAAAAAGAAAAGCGTAAACTACATAAATAGTCACTAATATTTGAATAAGTTTTCCTTTTCTCATTATTGTTTAAAAAGTAATAATTTAATCAATGAAGTTTTCGATGTGTAACAAATCGGTCACTTACTATTAAAAGTCATTATAGAAGATAAAGAAATATTGGTGTGACATGTTAAACCGACTGACTTGACATTATTTGATCACATAGAAAAACATCTTAACAGGTCGTTTGACTCTTATCTATTTTAAACCCATCTCTAAGAAACTCTAATTTCTCAGAGCTCTTGTTATTTCTGTTTATGTCGAACCACCTCTTAATACAATCAGCAAAAAATATCAAAACGAAGAAAAAATTACCACTTGATATGTCAAGAGTGAAATTACCACTGCAGTAGAGAATACCTACATAAGATCAATAAATTCAAGAAAAAAATACATAAAAACATAAATCATGATGATTAGAATATATTCTCTTTCTAAAAATATTGTTAAATCTCTAAAAAAGTATAAACTTTTTTTCAAATTATTTTATCAAATTGTGTTATATTTTTTATTATATGAAATAGTCAAATTGGAAAAAGTTAAAGGACTCAAAATAACTAAATTATAATCTACACATTTGATCTCCCTAAAATGTGATTCAAAATTCACATTGCGTTCTAGAGATCTCTAAAAAAATTTGGAGTTAGCAATTACTAGATTATTATTACTCATCTCTAGTATGATTAGAATAGGTTATCTTGTTACTCATCT